TTTTTTTTTTTGTTTATTACAGTTATAGTTGCTCTGAAAAAAAAAATTGAGGCTTTTTTTCTTCTTTTCTTCTTTGCTTTTACCTAATTTAAATTTTTTTGTCATCAAAAAAACCTTCTTTCTCTTGTAGCACAGATAGTTGATTCAATGACAGAAAGCTTTTCTATGATCAAGGAACCATGTGACAGATAACTCTTTAAGTTGAAAAATTCAATAAAAAACAAATTACCTCAAAATCACCGCAAAGAATTTTATTTGCCAATTTTTCGGCCAATGTATCTTCGCCAGGTTTTGTTGTTGGTGGTTCAACAGTTAGTCCCGGTAATAGGTCATGTAAACTACCATTTTGTGTTTCGGCTAACAGTATTCGTTGAATTGGTTTACCGGCAAATGTTGGTAAAGCATCCGGTTGCGGAAACGATGGTGCTATTGATTGTACAAATTTTTGACTTATTGGTGTTGTAACATTTTGCAGAGAAGCATCCGGTGGCAACGACTTGAAGTATCACAGAAATAAAGATTTATATTACTGCTACAATATAGATTCCAGTTTTTTTTTCTTTTGAATTTATTAACAATAATAGTATTTGTTGCTGATACAGTAGTGTATGTAGTAAGAAAATAAAAATGCTTGTCATTTTTTTTTTGCATTAAAAGAAAGTTTTTCTGCGCTAAATTTAGACTTTTTGTAAACACAAAGAAAAAAACTTACTCCAAAAAAACCATTATCAGAAATGGTTTGATGATTGTTTCGTGTCAAAAATGGCATACCATAACTGTTGTCATCCGGTTTCATATGTTTATCGTTATTGGCATTTAGGCTAAATGTCGGTTTATTCAAATTGTTTGCAAAGTTGTTTGCCATTAGGGCTACCTCTGTAAAATTGCTTTCGTAGATTTTTTACTATACAGTAAACGATTAGTAGTAGTAACTGGATGACACATAAAAAAAATGAAAATGTTTTATAAGTTTAATAACCATTTCTTTATTCTGTTCGTTTAATTACTTTTTTTTTTTAGTTTAGGTTTGCTAA